GGGAGCCGTTAACGGTTGCGCGGGAGCCGTTAACGGTTGCGCTCCGCGGCCTGGGCGCGCGCGCGCTGGCTGCAGAGCACGGGGGCCGTCTTCCTCCCCCTCCTTCCCTTTATTTTTTTCTTTTTCCTCCCCGCCTCCATAGTCCGTGGTGTCACTCTCGTGCGCAAATCACGGGGCACTCTCTGCTGTCTCATTTTTTTCGCTTTTCTTTTTCCCTTAACTCCCTTTCCACAAAGTTTTAGCGTAATGAAAGCCCATCTATGAAATCGCGTTAGCTGTAGGTAGCTAGATTCCCGTTTATTCCAAGAGGATTTTGTTCCCTGCCCAGCGTGGTTGTGCTTCCCTCATTCCGTGGCCACGTCAGGCAGTAAAGGGGTCGCGTGAAGGGTTCATCACACCCATTTTCAGCAAACAGTCGAGTTTTTCCTCAGCTGAAGTTTCCACTGAGAGTCTCAAATGCAATGTTAAGTTATACAGGGCCCTGTTGATTAGTCACCGGGCTGGTATGCAGTATCATGGAACAGCAAGCACAGTGCACAAGCAGGAACAATGAGGCTTGTGCAAGCAAGCAAGTATTGCAGTTTTCATAATGTCACTTTGTTCCTCTTTTCTCATAATTCTGGTATTAAGTGAGCTTCTAACATGGACAGAATCTTAGTGTTCCCTTGTGCCCTGCTTGAACTGAGTTTGTTGTAAGACCTGTGAAAATTCTCAAGCTTATTTAGTAAAGTGTTTTCTTACTGATATCATAACATAACCAGCCATTTTCATTTTCAAGTTTTGAAGTCAGCCTCTTGCCATTTAAGGGCAGGTATCAGTTTTGGAAAAAGTTAAAAAGGCTTAGAAAACTGCACATGTCATGCAATTATACGTCTTCTTTCCAAAATTTAATGTGTACTTTAAATGCTTGGTACTTACAGTAAACAATGCTTTCAGGGGTATGCTGCAACATTTTAAGGTTTTATGCTAGATATTTGTTCAGTTACCCATTTCCCAGCTGGTCCATTGTCACAACATGTAGCTTGTATGTTTTGTTGGTGTAAACAAATGCAGTATATTTATTCGTCGTTGTTTTGCATTCTACTTTGAATGCAAGTTTACGTAGGGGGAAGAATGCATTGTGCAATAAACAGTCATTAGGGACTTTTCTTACAAAAAGTTTAAAGACCCTTTCTGTCTTATCTGAAATATTATCATATATCAGTAAATAGTTTTTATGATTAAATTATTTTTTTTCGCTTATTGTCTGCTTAGAAAAACAGTTTGTCCAAACTGTACTGTCAGGCTCTTCCTGATGTCCCTGTCTGCATAGGAATTTAATTCTACCCTTTATGTCTCTAAGAACTCCATGCCTTCCTCTATGTTTTATTCTTGTGAAGTAGTGGAAGAATTTGTTAGAAACCATTTTATACATGCCATGTGTTGTCAAGTCAGATGTTGCAGTTTGTAACACTGTGCAGACCACTGTATTTGTCTTTTTGCTTCAAGTCATCAACATAGCTTCAGGCTCATAATGGGACACTTTTTTGTTCCTAATAGAATGGTATTGTAACGTGGTAGTATTTTCCTTGCAGAATGAGGGAGTGTCTGAGGAAAAAGAGATTGGACCCTTTTGAAATAGAGAATGAATTTGTATATGCTGTGTTATTAACTTGGAAAAGCATCATTCCTCACCAACAAGGATAGAATACCTACTTCTTTCTTCCTCTTTCTAGGAAAAAATGTCCCTGAGAGGCTACTGACCTCAGAGCTTGCAGAAACCTGCTTCACCAGGCAAGTGCCTTGATTGGTCAGTTCCAAAGGTATATTGAATAGAAGTGTTTCTCTACCAAAAACACCCAGTTCCTCCTATCTTGGCTTTTTAGGAAAGCTGCCAACATTGTTAGCTCTTTTTTTCTTTCTCTTCTTAGTGGAGCGTATACAAACATAAACATATTCAGTGTTATCATAAACTCAAATAGAGTTTATGGTGAGAACAGAATATGTCACAGCTGAGTCTAGCCTAATTTTGGTCTGCCAGCTGAGCTTATCTGTGACTGCAAAGTAGCTATTTACTCATAATAATGCTGTATGAACAACTGCTGCATCAACTGGTGAGATATTCGCCGCTTCTGTTTGAATCTTCCCACAGAATGTATTTTGTCAATTTGTATGTTGCTTTATTTGATTTTTTTTGTAGTTGTGTGCTTGGGTTTGTCTCATGATGATTTTAACAAGTTACACAGTTACTTAATACTAGAGATTAATATGTATTCTTTATTCAAATGAGATTATATTCATTTAGTATTCATTAAATTCATCAATTACTAGATCATGCTTCTCTAGAATCATGTTTTATAAAGATACTGTCTGTCAATTCATCAAAAGTTCCACATGAACTTAAGGAAAATTTTTTTAACAGTGAGGGTGACAGAGCCCTGGCACAGGCTGCCCAGAGAGGTTGTGGAGTCTCCTTCTCTGGAGATCTTCCAAACCCGCTTGGATGCCACCCTGTGCCACGTGCTCTAGGTGACCTTGCGTGTGCAGGGGGGTTGGACTAGATGATCTCTAGAGGTCTCTTCCAACCTTAAGCATTCTATGATTCTATGAATTCTCTTACTTCTGCCTTTTTATGTGCATCTACATCGTTATTTCAAAGTCCAGTTTTAGCATGATAACTTTAAAGTACCGATGCAAAATGTGATATCTCAGGATTTAGCATCAGCTGGTAAAGTCTTCAGTGCTGTGCACGTGTTATCACATTTAATGCTTGCTGTTGGTCTACTTTCTCAGTGCAGTATACACATACCCTTTGGCTGTGAGTGAAAAAGGTGGAAAATAACTCCAGGATCCAGCTCACTGTATCAAACCCATTATCAAAGCCCCACTGTCAATCACTGAGGGTGGCCAGTACTATAAATTAGGAAATAAATGGTCATTTTTCATGTAAGAGAGATCGCAATTGTTACCAAATGTTAAGAACTTTTCTCAGTTACAAGGATCTCTCTCTGTTTTTCTCTTAAATGAAACCAAACCCACTAAATTCTTGCTTTCGATATCTCAGCACAAACAAGTATGCATGTGGGGGTGGATCTCAGAGTAAATACACTCCATTTTGGTGTGCTTAAATTGCCAGCCAGAGGTTGACCTCTGTTGTCTAAAACAGGCTAATCTTATTAGAACCCTATAGATGTAAGTGAAAATCAACTTATTTTGACTGCATTTGCCATAGAAGAAAATTCTGAGGAGTTAAAGCTTTCATATGGTTTGTAGTCTTAAAAAAAATGAGAATCAGAGGCTTGTCTTTTAAAATGTCCAATGCTTTTTCAGTGGTTTCATTTTATTAACCTTTCTCAATAGTACTTGACTGTTCAGAAAGGAATTAGCTTGTTTTGGAAAACACCAATTTATGCAAGTAAGGAGTGTTTTTAAGGGAAGAGAATAATGTTTCTACTAGTAAAAGACACCAGACAAGGGTATTTCAAGCTTTGACTTGTGTCTGGCCTTGTTGCTACAGTCTTTCTATTTCTGTTTTTAAAGTGGAGAGATTCCTCACCAACACAACACCAAGAAAAAGATGCCAGGGATAAAGGTGCCCTGGAAAGGTATTTGCTATCCAGCTCAGTCCCAGCTCAATCTGGAAATGACACATTGTTGTCAGTATGTCTTTAAGTTGTTGGGCAAATTGTACCATGGCCTCAAATTCAATAAATGTCCAAGAGTTGCTCTTAGTTACTGATTCATATTGCTCGGCAGTACTGATTCATATTGCTCGGCAGTACTGCTTGTATGTTATTTCCTAGTTTACTGCTTAGACACCAAGAAAGCCTCTTAGAAATTACTTTTTCACCATGCTTGCACATTCTTTCAGTAGTGGGTCCTAAGATTCCAGCCTTTCTTGGAGTGTATTAGCATTATTTGCATCTCCAATGAACTTGGAAAATCCTACAGAAAAGGGGCTATTCTAAATATGGCTAGCTGGCAACAAGTATTTATTTCATCTTTAATAGTATATGTCTCCATTCCCTTTCCAGTGTGGTCTGTATATTTCTTTTTCTAGAATGAAAGGCATTTTTTTAAATCAAGATACTGCTGCTTATGGTTCTGCTTTTTTAATAAAAATTTGCGTGCAACTATGGTGTTTTTTTTATGCTTACCTGGTATGGAGAAAGAGTATCTACCTCTTTAAGGCTTTTAAATTCTTGTTTTCACATACAACTGAACAAGTTTAGATTTCTATCAGTAATCACTCGCAGGTAAATGATGGACAAGTGAGATGATTTTATATTTAGGTGGGCATTTTAAATGTTTTTTACAATCCAGACTGGATGGTTTTACAAATGTAGACTGCATTCCTTTCTGCTTCCAAGTGTTCTGAGGCCAAGTCAGACGGGATATTTACACTCTATAATCATCAGAAATCCTGATGCAGATAAGTCCGATCCCAGTCTAAGCACTGTGCTGCAGAGTCCAATTCTAATTCAATTAGACCTAAAGGAAAGGAGAGTTCCTTTTTCCCCACAGAGCAGTTTGTATTGTTCTGTTTCAAGCAAGTGACTGTTTAAATATGAACTCAAATTAAAATTGGGTTGTGTTTTGTTGTTGCTTTTAATGTAAGAAGACATAGTGTTGCTGTCATTAAAAAACAGTACGAAACAAAATGCAAATGATATTTACTTTTCAACATTCCAAAGATGATTGTGCAACTCTTGTAATTTTGTTTGGAGTATTGCTTTGGCGGGGACTACTTTTCATTCTTTACTTTGAAAGCAAGGTCAGCTCATGCTTTCATTTAAGAAACCTGCCTCTCACTTAAATATCTAAAAAGAGGAGAAAAGTCCTAAATATAAAAAAGAGCTTCTCAAAATTTAATCCATTTTCAATTATTGTTTTTTTTTCTCTCTTATAATCATCCTATTAATTTGGCACTTTTCTCAAAAGTTGCTGTTGAAGAGGGTTTTTTTGTATGGAAACAGAGGCAGAATATTAAAAATTCAAACCTTCTTTAAAAAGAGAAACAAAATGGTAGAATAAGTCTATAGAGAAGGAAGAAAAACTTCTAAACTATGTAGTGACTGAAAAATGGGGTATAGATGGTTGATTTTAAAAATGATTTTATGCAGAAACGGTTGAGGAAATACTTTTCCATAGCCAACTAAATGTAACAGAATGAGATAAAGGTTAAAGAAAATAATACAAATCTCATCAATTTTGTCTTGAATGACATCAAATTATTACTAGTTACTATTTTAGGAGAGATTAAGTGTCTCTGGTATAGTCTGGTTCTTAAAGCCTTTCCTGACATGCAGCTTAGTGGGAAGTCCTTGTGGGTGCTGGTTGAACTGGAAGCGTGAAAGTCTTTCTTACATCATGTAACACTAAGTCTTCTGCAGCCTACAGTTAATTGTACCAGCAGAAAGGGCGCAGTTGCTAAACCCATGCCCTGGAAGTCAAGGCTGCTGAGCAGCTTATTTTAGGACTGTTGTCTAGGCTGTATGCGTTCTGATCACTAAATATATGTTCAGAAGCTGTTCTGGTTGCATCCGAAGAAATAATGAAATTTGCAGCTCTAAATATTTTTTTGGAAAATCTTGTAAACAGTTTTGAGATTAAAAACCAAAAACTCTCTTAGTGAGAAGAAGTCAAATTGCCGTATTTCTGTGAGGTGCTCTCTGGAGCCATTGCTTCTTCACATTCCAGAAGAGATAAGAATAGGTGAAGACTGTTCCTGCCTTTATGGAGATTTGAATGACTTATCTGAGAAAGTTTATATTGATTTTATTTTGACCTGAAAAGCATTTGGTTTTAGTTCCCAGTCTACTCATCTTATGTCAGCCTTACTGTGGAAGGAGCTGACTCAGAAAAAGTGCTTGAGGTAGTGGGGGGAATACACTCAGCACTCCCTTGCTGTGCAGAGCCAGATAATTAAAAGCAGACAGTTTGAGCCTTAAGCATCACTAGCCCACCTGTCTACATCTTGCTGGTATTGGCATGGTAAAGATACAGTGTTTTGGGGGTGACCTTATGTGTAGCTAGGAAGATTGTGCGGGAGCTTCTTTTGAGAGAACCTCTGTGGGAAATGGGTATTGGGAAATAATTAGTTGTGCAGGGAGGAAGAGGAGGTGAGAATGTTTTTTTTTTCTTTTTTTCTCTTTTTTTCTTTTTTTTTTTTTTTAACTGACCTTAGCATCACTCTTTGGTATTTCAGGAAGAGTGTATGAGTAGAAATGAAGGCAAATGAATAGAGTGAGAGGTTTCAAATTAAGCAGACAGATAAGGATTGAGGGAATTCCATTTGTTTCAAGGAATGTGAAAAAAGGGGTGGGGAGAAGATTTCTATACAACCTTGAAGGCTGCTCTTGATGTGGTACCCACAGTTTGTGTGTCACCCTTTCAGAGGGGAACTGAAGCATCCCTGTGTCTCTTTGCTGCAGTATATATCTCTAAAGAAATACTTAACACTTAATTGGATGCTGGTATTATTAGCATCTTGGTCTGATGCAGCTCTCACGTGTCATATCAGCTGTCAGTTTCTTGACGTTTACCTGTATTTCATACAGAGTGGTCAATCTAGAGTTGACAGTGTGACATAACAGAGATTAGCTGTAGAAAATTGGTATTCCGGAGTGACTTTTTCTATATGAGGCCTTTTTCTACAGGAGAAGAAATTCTGGTGCCTTTTGTTCATTAATATACACTAAATCAGTTTTGATTTTGACCTACTTTAATCATGATTCTTGATGAGTCACTGGTCTTCTATCTTTAGGGAAAAGTACTCTTTCCAAATATTAATCATCATTTTAATAGACTGTTGCTTGCAGAAAGCTGTATTTAATGAAAATTGTGAGTGTAGTCACAAAAATATTAATCTCAGTTCAGGTTGAGACACATGTTAGTGTACCCTCATTTGCTGTGTCACTTCATACAGGCTTCATTATTTCATTCTGATTTTCACAGTGGAAGCCCCAAAATATAAGAACAGTGAGAGGAATATTCCATTCATTCTCAGTAAGTTTTCCCTGTTCTTGTGGTACTTAATGATACCACTTATTCTGATACTATTTTTGAAGGTTATACAGGCTTCTTTTTGATTATTGATGTAGAGTGGCTTCCACAAGTGAAATAAAGCCTAGAAAAAAGTTCCTCAACTGGTACAAGAGAAGGAAGTGCATCTGTATTGTGAAAAACATGGCATTTTTTAAATTAAGAACAGCAGATTGGCATGCTAGCTAGGATCGTGCTAGGGTACTTCATTACAGGTTTGTATTAAAATCCTCATGACTGTTCTCTCTGTTTTGCTATTATTCAGAGTCAGGTGTTGTCTTCTGTGTTGATTTTTACTGGATAGCAAGGTTTAAATTCAAAAATGAAGTGTAAGCTGTGGAGAGGAACACTGATGAAAGCTTGCAGGACTGGAGCAGGAAATAGATTATACCAGTCTTACCTGACTGTAAAGGCTCATGCTGATATTTTATGTCAGCCCTGTTGGACAAATACTTTAATTGTGTATGGACACAGCTTCATTATGACAGTTTTTATTATCTTTTTCCTAAAGTCACTTTATTTCTCCTAGTTTCATAATATTCACAGCTGTGGTTCATTTTACTTCCTGATTGCAGCGGGAGCAATTTAGAAGTGTGTTGCAGATCCTTTTATTTTGCTTATGTCTTCAGCTGTAGTAGAATAAATGTTATTACTGGCTGGCAAGTCATTCTGATTTTTGCAGATGTGAAATGAATATAAAATAAGTGAATCTAGTGAGCGAACTCTGAAAATATTCAATTTCTTTCAAACTTTCCCTATGTTTCCAGCTGATGGATGTGAACTGTATAGAAAAGGCAGACAGAATATAAAATGCATGGCATGATTCCTGTCTATACTCATCATCCTTTAAAACACAAATATACTTGCTTCTTTATTCAAGTAAGTAGTGTAAATTAGGTTTCTTAAAAATACACTATCTTAGCTTAACAGCAGTAGTGCATTGTGTACTAGCTAATGTTCTTGGTGAAGTAAGCTCATTATACTCTATAAGAGGACTGCCCTTAGAATATGTCAAGTCCAGCAGACTGTCCTATCCTTACGCAATATATCTGGTAAATATCTCCAGATAAACTATCTGATTTTTAAGTCATTTGAGACTTTCTACTGTGCAAGGACAGCAATGCTTTATTGTCCTCTGCAGCAATCTCTGGTAAAATGCAGCTATTTTCTTTTGCTTTATCATTTTTGAACCCCAGGTAAAGACTAATCTGAACCTCAATAATTTATCGTTTGTATGAATATATGTGTATACAAAGATTTCTGTATCCGTAAAGTCTCTGTGCATATATATACCGTTATATAAATATATATGTGTGTGCGTGTATATATTTCTTTTTACATTTTAGAGCTGGGATGGCCAGTCATGAAGCAGAAGTTCAGAGTTTGAAGCTAGATAATGATTCATTTATAGAAGGAATAAGTGACCAGGTACTGGTGGCAGTTGTGCTCAGTTTCACTTTCATTGCTGCTCTGGTATATACCCTTTTAAGGTGAGAATATGTTGATAAGAATTGATCACCATACCTCAGTTTCTAACATACTAACTTTTTCAATAAATACTTGCATTAGTGTACAACAACTGTGGTTTTATGACTTTAAGTAAATCATTGTTCAATCACTTACTTCTAACTGGTTCCCCGTCAGATTTTCGTAATTTAATTCACAATTAAGAATGAAATGATTCATTTTCCAAAAAGGATGCCAAACTCCTTCATATATTATTTAAGTGATCCAATTGAATGATCTCTGTAATTCCTCAAGATTTAAAATGATTTAATTTATGATATGCATGGCTGGTGTTGTATTTCCTTATTAAGTATATCCCATGTGCAGTCTCCTTAAAAAAGGAAAGAAAAGAAAAAGAGAAAAAAACTGAGTGATTTGTTTCTAAATGAGTATGCTTGGAAAATATTGAACTGTGATACAATTTCCATAAAGAAAAATATTAAATTCAAAGTTGAACAAAACTAATCTGTGGTCTCTGTAGTTTCAGAGATTTTTCTTGAGACCTTATGAGTGTGTTAGTCAATGCATTTTTGAGAAACTAATCTGTAATTATCTGTAACTTTTTGAGATTTTAAGCCTGGTTTTATGAAAGTCTGTAGAATTCTAGGCATAGATGAGTTCTAACAACCAAGATAATCTGATTTTTGTGAGCTGTTGTCTTTGTGGGTAGATTCTCATCAATAAATTCCATATGAGAGGAATGTTTGGGAGATATGCGGAGAGTAAGCTATGAAAGAAACCACAAGTATGAAAGCTTATACCAGAAGCAAGACTGGAAGGTAGTGCTGCTGTTCTCAGGCAAGAGATGAAATAGATAGGAAAGCAGTTTCTGCTGTAGGAAAGGAATCTTAGAGAAGATATTTCTCTAAGGAAAGGAATCTTAGAGAATACACTTCAACTTGCTTTCCTTGCCAAGGCTATTTCAGTCATTCAGATGCCTCCAAGAGTGTCTCTCATTCCTCAGTCATCTTTGCTTTCTCGTGCTTCCTCTAGTCCTTATATTCACATATTCAGCATTTGTAATCTGAATTTATAAGTGTGTATTTAAATAGCAAACCTCATTTCAAAAATTAAAGCATGATTACATTTAATTTTGAAATCTTCTGAACTTTGCAAAGGAAGACAAATTAGAAGTATAAAAAAGAGTCAGTGGAACAAGTAGCGGTCAATAGGAATAGTATCAGAATCAGTATAAATGATATGAAACCCTCAATCCTTGTTATTTCATATCATTGATACCACTTGGGGAAGGAAAATGACTTCTTCCTATTTGTTTAGTGGAATGAGCCAAATAAAGAGATTGCGCATCCCGTTATGCACCTGAATGGTTTCCTTGATGAAAAAGCAAACTTGGAACATAGGTTCCTCTACTTTAGACTGTCTTGAAGCTAGTTTTCTTGTGCCTAGCATGAGTCCCTTCTAAAAGACTTAGCAGCATCTTATTCAGCTCCATTGTCCCCTCCAATATCTCCTAAAATTGTCTCTATTCAGTAGCATTTTTTTCCATACCTCCATGCCTAATATGTTTATTATCTCTGTTAAAATCCGTTAAGTTCATTATTCCTTATTTCTTTGACACTGAAGGGGAGACAGGGAAGACAAGGAAGGAATTTTCATTTCTGTTTATTTTTGGTAGTACAATACTCCATGTACTCCTTATCCTATATACATGATCTCAGCCTCTTTGCCATCCACGTTTCTGTTTGCAACATCTGAAAATACTTAAATTGGGCCTTGAAGAAACATGCTCTGGGTACAAATCTAGGAAAGTAGACTTAAGAGAATGCATAAGATCACAGCAATTGAATAAAAAGGATACTTCTCCTTATCAAGAGGAGTCAAGAGACTCCTAGAGAAGGAGTAGTATCACAGCTAAAGTAGCTTTTGTGGGGCAGAAGTGGAGTATGAAAAGAACTGTTAAGGGGTATGGTTGCTGTGCTTGTTTCTAGCAGAGAAAACTCACTGAAGCCTCACATCAGGGCATGAGCTAATGGTCCCTCTACCTTTGATGAAAGAACTATGAACAGTTACTAATGTATCTACTAAGTTGCAGTTTCATTCATTTGCTGTTCCTTGAGTAATAATTTCTAAAGGAAATGGAGACAGATTTTTGCCATCACCTCTTAAACTTGTCAGTAAAGGGTCACATTACAAATTGAAATCTTAATTTATCCAGCAAGTTAAAGGGTTTAGTACTGACCCTTTACTGTGATATGTCAGAAATTCCCTGCTTGCCCCAGATGACTTACCTAACCCATTCTTGTAAGTCTGCAGCTTTAGATGTTTTTCTCTAATTATTCTATTCCATCATATGGTTTTACTGTAAAATCCATTCATCATTTTCAGCAGAGCTGAGACTTTAAATCTTGGACAATAACGATGGTATTGCAGTGATGCTCCAACCCCATAAGTGCTATTCCTCCCTTTCTCTGCGTATTGAATGCAGGCAGACTACCTGTTTTTGGTAACAACAGTTTGGTTGTACAGCACTAATACTCAATAATCAGGAAATGAAAAGAAGAGAATATGCTTTTAGCTTTTTCTTTCCAATTTGCCTGTGGTAATGCCTGTAAGTACATAGGTCCTTGCTGTGTCTCATTTATTTCAAAACATTTCCTTATACTAATTTATGAATGGAGCATGTCTGAAACTTCACTTGTCCCCTCTCAGACATGGTGCAGGGCTCTGTTACATAAGAAGCTTAGGCATAAATAACAGATCCTCAACTTCAGTAGCTCTGCAAATAATCTTGTCTGTTTAACACAGCCTATGATACCAAACTACCACCATGTATGTGAATAATTGTACAAAGAAGTTATTCTAATATTGTCTGGGTGACTTTACCACACCTATTTGACTTAACATGGCTTTTTACTGTAGAAAATTCAAAATTAGTTACTCTAGTTCACTGATTCCCTCTAGTAGAAATTCAAAATTAGTTGTTTATGAAGGGATGAAAATAAAATGGTTTATAATTCATACCTTCCAATTATGTGTGATTTGAATACAGTTTCAGTATACATTAAATTTTTGACAAAATGAAGGTGTGAAATATGCCAACTTGTAGAGGCTAAACAAGGAAAAAATACATACATGTATCATACATGTGTCATGTTATGTCAAACTGTTCACAAAATCTGATTTTTAGGTAAGCTTTCCATTGTATAATTTTCATATATGTGAGTCATATTATTGTTAAATTGACCCGTATTATTGTTAAATACACTTACGTTTTATGGATAATCAGGCAGCTATTAGCATGAAAATACACTTTTGTCCATTCTAAATTTAAGAAAAAACAAAGGAAAGATGGCAGTAATGCAGGATTATGATTGTCCACACCACATGATGCAAAAATTGCAGAAACTTCTATGAGGAAGTCATGTAAATAAAACTACAGCCAGAAGAATCCTAAAAATTCAGCTGGCCGCAGCCCACAGCTCTGACAGCATCAGCCTCCCTAGACTATCCCTGGAAGAAGCTTAACGTGTTTTGGGATTTAATGTTCAATCGAAGATAGTCCACAGTACTCTCCTTGGAGTTTTGTACACTTAACAATTAAAAATTGTTTTCATTGCCCTTAAGTAACTTATCATACATAATTATTCAGAATTACAGAATAGAAGACTTATCCTGTCCCCTTTTTCTGCATAACCTATCTTCTCTACAGACCCCAGTTCTTCAGTTCCTCTCTTAATGTTTTAAAAATATGGCCAGTGGTTTTTATCATTCTCTTCTGAACTTTCACCAGCTTTTGAACATGTTTTTATCCATTTAGACGAACGTGGAGAGCAGAATACAGATTTGCTTTTTTGGAACAACATGATGTTGTTGATTCATATTTAGTGTAACACAATGTTTTTAAACTTGTCAGCATCATTTCTAATTCCACTCCTGTTGCCCACTGTGCTTCTGAATTTCAGAATTTAATATATCCAGCTTCCTTTCTTCAGTGAATCACTTCTCTCTGATTCCTTTTTGTCTTGATATCTCTAACCTGTATTTTTCTCACCACTAGTCTGCACTGATTTCTTTTTATATCTTATCTGCTGGTAGTTACATAAAGTCAACATTCTAAAGCTAAGAGTTTTCCCCTTCCTATACAAATGTTATATCTTTATTTTTCAGGTGGCAAATTACACCGAGATTATAAAGATTTTTCAGCTTTGCGGTACTAATTTATATAGTGAATAATAATAATAAAAAAAAAAAACAAGAAATTTACACATAAACCAGCAATGCAAAAATTAAAAATATTTCTGTGTGATAAAGAGCTTCAGACAAAACCTTGGTTTTAACATAACTTTTAAGTTATGGAGGTTTGTTTTAGAGAAATCTTGCTGTTGTGCAGCTTCAAAAGTCTATGGTAACTTTAGGATGTACAATGAATGTGTTGTTTCCTTAATTATATGTACTTCCTTTAAAATTCTTTATAGCAGGAAAGCAGATTTTTCCCCCTTTGTTTCAAGTCTCGTTTTGTTCAGTCAGTTATTTTCAGGGCTGAGTCTCAGAATTCACCTTTTTTTTTCATTTCTTGTATTTTCTTTCACAGAAATGAGCATCAGAACATACACCCAGAAAATCAAGAGCTAGTGCGAGCTCTTCGTCAACAGCTTCAGACAGAGCAGGTGCTGTGCTAAATGCTGGAAAGGTTGGGCTTCTCCTCCGAGGTTCTGGAAGGAAATAGCCTTGAAAATTAAGGACGCATGTTAACTGTACAGAGTCAACCCTAAAATTTATCAAGGAGTGCAAAGACATGTTGGTTTTTTTGGACAAATCAAGTCATTAAAAATAAGGATTTGTCTAGTTCTTTTTTCAAACCAGCTTCCACCACACGGTGGAGTTCACTACGTTACATTATGTTCTTCCTGCGCTGTTTCTGCTTGCTTAGTGGTAAGGAAAAGGAAATCTGGAGTACAGCTTGCTGCCACCAGGCAGGGGTCAGATGTTTAAACTGATAAATAATGTGTAGCAGAACAATGGCACAGCGGAGAGGGGCAGGCAAGATGTATTTCACCCAGTGCTCACTTGTAGAGGAGAGATTGGGAGAGAATGGGCCACTTTGCTAGAAATTGCTGAGCCCTAGCCCTGCACTGAGAGAAGCCATACTTTCTTGGAATGTATCGAGGAGACTCTTCTATCACAGCACTTCTTGAAATAACAGCAGATTTTCGACTATAATGTCTGCTAGTGTAGAGGAAAAGCATGGTGGAATCGGGAGAAAGAATATTCCATGGCAGCAAAATAAATCAGGACTTCAAAAAAAGAGTTGTCTTGTGACATGGGAAGCTGAGCCCAAGCATGGCTTAGTAGTTACAACAGATATGTGCCCAGATAGCGGCAGCCATGCATGTCTGTGTGGATTTATTGTTTCTGTTCTATTGACAAGATGCTGGAAGGAGTCGGCAGTAATCTGAGATAGCTGTCGGCTCTTAAAATTCAAAGCAAATCATACAACATCTCCGATTTCTAGTAGGAGACGCACAAACCTGCATCTGTGTTTGGGGTGGAGAACAGTAAATACAGCTATTGGTAAATGATGTAGGTGCGTTACCTGGTGCATTCTGAGCAGAGTTACTTAGGATTATGAAGTACTGAGTTGATACAAAGTCTGTAGTGTATTTAACCTAATGTATCCCAGTTAATGTGTAGGTGCAGGCAAGTTCTTCCTTTGTGTTCCCTGACTGGAATGAAGCACATACTGTGTAAAACAGATAAACTAATGTGCTTATCACACAAAGAACTTGCCTAGTGAATCAATATTTGCATTTAAGTATATTCAGTTTTTGAATTGAGATATATTTCTATTTCGTTTCATATAATTTTGTATTTGAGTGTTTGACTTCTAGTTAATAAACATTAAGACTTGTTTATTTTTTTAAGTTCAGGTAGACTTCTTGTGTAAAAGATGGTCTCAAACATTTTCCATTTCTCTTTTGCCACAGCAGGATGCATCTGCTGGTGATAGGCATCGTTTCTATACTGATATGTCCTGTCCGGTCTGTTTGCAACAGGCTACATTTCCTATTGAAACAAACTGTGGACATCTCTTCTGTGGTAAGTGAAAAAATATATGGAGACACATACAGGAAGCACACCAGCACAAGTACTGTTACCATAATGTAAAGCTTTGTTCTATTTTAGCTGCTTATTTTCTAGTCTGCATTAAAATTATTTCTAATGCAATCTGCATTAGAAATCATTTTCTGTATAACTTGCTGAGAAAGTACATTTGCTAATAAAGTAACATGTAACAGTGTTACATGTTTTTATGTACATTATTACATATTACATATATAATGTTATGTACATATATACATTACATATATAATGTTATGTACATATATACATTATTACATATTACATTATTTTGCTATGCTATCAGGATTGAAACTGCTGTTAATTTAAAAGCATTAAGGACAGTGTATTGTTTATTTCCAGCTAGTAAAAAACTAGAGAGGCTGAAAGACATTTGAGATTATACCATTTAAGAAATTTGCATAAAAATATAAGAAATTAAAGCATCGTTGTTATTAGTATGTAGTTGGTGTTTTTGTTTTTCTTGGAAATTCTGAAAAAATAAGACTAAATTCACAATGATTACAGTCCTGGGAATTTTTTTTGAAGGGTGTGTGTAGGTATATATACACAAACACAATATATGTAAGCATATGTAAATTTATACATATATTTTGTATAGATATCGATACATATTGCTTCCTGTCTTTCAGGTTTCAAGATTCTTTCACTGAATTTATCTAACTTTCTGTAGTATATAATTCATGTAATGCCTGTTTTTTTGAAATAAAAGATTGGCAAATTTAGAAAGCAGTAAAAGAACTTAGACTTTTATATATTCTTACATTTGTTGATACTCTGATAATAAAGTCAATTTATTTTAGATTAATTTAACAATTCTTGATTTTTATGATTTCTGTGGTTTTACTAGCTAAAATTTTAAACATAAAGTGTTTAAATGTTCGAATGTTTAAAATGTTTCAACAGGTTCCTGCATTATTGCCTACTGGAGGTATGGCTCATGGCTTGGTGCCATCCGTTGTCCAATCTGCAGGCAAACGGTAATATTTCAAATAATTGATTGTATGGGTTTGATGTATGGATATGTTTGATGTAGTGTGGCTAAGCAAAAAGGCACTATGAACTGTAAAAGTCACACCGAAGAAGAAATCTGAATCATGGACATGTCAAGTCTATACTCTGCATATTACATTTTTGGAACTCAGCGCTTTGATAGCTGACTCAGCTAGAGTCAGCAAGACTGTTCCTAGAACTCATAAATAGCATTGATAATTTAGCTATTTTTCTAAAAAGGTATATATGGAAAGAGAAATTGATCTTACTAAGGTCTTTCATGCTGTCTTTCTGACACATATATAACCTGCTTCTTTATCAGAACTTGTATATGAAAGATCTACCTCTTAGAAGATTGCAGTAGACATAATGCTGATGATTTCTAAGAAATACTCCCTCATTTCCTTTTTTCCTTGCTCAAAAAATGTCCATAGTTGTTTCTTATTTTCTTCTTATTTATAGTTTGTATGTATTGCTAATTGGAAGCTTTGTAGAGCAAGTACTTGCTTCCTTCCTACACAACATACTTTCAGTGTCAGTTTGAAATATGTCCCTTCAATTCATTAACACTTAGGCTCTTGAAGTCTCATATTCTGTTTTATAATAAGAGTTCACATCTGTATTGTTAACAGTGCAAGTATTAGAGCCTTATATAATTCATCAGAAGTTATTAACATATTTAAAACCACTGCCTGTACTTTGCATCCAAGTTTGACTATGAATCAGCAGTACAAGTGGATATAAGACAGATGAAAGAAAGAAAAACAGGTATGTCTGGAAGAATGAGTGGTTACAGTGTAGCCAAGGAGGAGAAAGGCACAAAAATAAAGGTGATGAGAATGGAAAAGCAGAAAATAACATTGTTTTCACATCTTTCTGTAGATAGACATTCCTCTTTTTTATTATTTTGATGAATAAATAATTTAGGTGGAGCATGCGTCACACAAAAGGCTTGTGGCAGGCCTAGAGCTTCAGTGTCAATATGTTCACCCTGTTCTTTGCTACATGTGAACGCTCCATTTAAAAACCTGTAAGAAAGTTCCTCACCTTATACACTCAAAGTTGTTCAGAGTCCAACTTGAAACGTTCTGGGGATATAAATGAATTATATCACAAAGCCTGGAAAAGCTTACTTTACAAGTTTAAGATTTCCACATCTAATCATGGAAAGTAATTAAATGCTTCATTTCTAACTTAATGCTAATCCAGAAGTAAATACTGATCAACATACAATTTACAAGACTTATCTGTTGGAGAAAGGAGGTGACTTTTCTTCAGAAGGGTGTTTGTTGTTGTTTGTTTGTTTTCTCGCTTGCTTTATTCCTTAGTGAAAATGGGCCCAGGGATAATCAGCTCTTAAGGCATAAGCAGTTGGGTTTCTTATGATAATCTGTATTTTCTATCTGAATATCACATTTTCTATCTGAACATCACAATACAAGCCCTGTGTTTTCAGGGACTCCTATGCAGACAGATAAGAGCAGAAAAATTTGCTGCACTTACAAAAGAGCTAATAGTTATTATCTCTTTCTGGCAACTTCTGTTTTTCTCCTCGGTCTTGATATAAATGCCCACACAGGCAGATTTGTTGCTTGTTTGCTGACGTGCAAGGTTCTCCTAAAGAGGGAGGAAGGCTTATTTGATTCTCAGTTTAAGAAATAAAACCAGACTGACTTGCTAAATTACGTTTATTCTCATAAGTCTATCTCACCTCTGAAATAGAAATTATTTATATATTGAAAATTATCCTGTAAGCCTCCCTCAGAAGGAGAGTTCTTATGCTGCTTTGTAGCAATCTTTTTAAAAATTCATTAATATTCTTTAAAGAATATTAATATTCTTATTCTATTTTCTTTCTTTATTTCTACTTTATTCTATTATAATTCACAGTATCTATGTTTGAAAAAGAGGTCACACATTAACTAAATCTTCCTGCTGTGCCTAGGTAACATTGTTTTTACCACTATTTAGTGAAGATCAGCAGGATGCGACCCAGGTGCTTCAAGATATTAATGATTACAACCGGAGATTCTCAGGACAGCCCAGATCTGTAAGTTGTGGGAGATTTTGGGTGGACATCAGAAATTTCAGAGAAGATTATTAGTAATTTTTGTGACTGTTTTTTTTTCCTGAAATTTTGATATTCTGTTCATAATGTGTAAAGAGCTATGCATGCTTTCCTGAGGAAATTCATGCTCATATAGTTAAAGCAAACTTAAAATACAGGAATACAATTATTTTTAATTTGTCGTTATAGAACCTTTTATTTCTATTTTGTCTGAAAACTACTAACAAGCCTTGAGTAATGTATCTGTTAAGCACTTCTTTGAATCATGAACTCATTAAATGGAAAGGATCTATAATTAGCTAATAAAAATACTGAGTATGAGCTGTGAGAAGGAACATTTTCTGGACTTATCTCTCTAAGCTGATCAAAAGAATAGACTTGAGTTGTATTCTGTGCCTTTCCTCTTATATTTCAATCTGTACTCTTGATTTTTTTGTTTGGTTGGTTTATTTTTCTGCTAGATTATAATACATCCTTTATTTTGCTGTGTGGCTGTGGAAACCTATTTTTGTTATTACTATTTTGATAAAGAGTGAAGGGATATAGTTGAAGTTCTGTGAACTTGAGAAAATCAGTGTTGTGAGCTTGTCTTTTACGTGTGTGTCCTGATTCACAAAGTGAAATGTGTACAGGTGGATAACATTAACTTTACTGAGGGTCTACTTGTCTGCATCTGTGAATTTGTCCATAGTAACAAACATTACCAGGAAAAATCTGCAGTCCAAAAAGACAGAAAAGAAGTGAGAAATGAATTTTTCTTATTTCATTTTCTAAGCACAAAACTTGTAAGCTTTGGATCCAGAATAGTGCCTGAGAGCCCTGAACTGGGCCAGTTAACCTGCTTTTGATCTGCATGAAGCCTATTGCCTTAACCACTTCTAGCCTTCTTTTCTAGAGAAGTATTTGAGCCTTGGCTATAGCTCCCTTTAATTTTATAGCTCTCTGTAAACTAGGAAAGAAATTATACAGAAAAAGATGTCAAGTTCACCCTACCCAAAAAACCTTGATATTTCCCTCAACTAGCAGTCCACCAGTGAGATGGCAGGACCATTTTCAAATGATGGGAAGGAGCCAGGAAAAGAGGCACTTAAGGGTTCATCAATTTACTTTTAAGCTTGACCTGTCCTTTCGAAATCTATATGAATCTCTCTCTGTACGATAGAGAGGAAGGTTCATTTCTGAAGAACTGCAATCTGCTTCTACTTTGACTTTTTTTTGGTGTCTTTCATTCTGATCACTATTCCTCTCTCATTATCATATTTCCTGTTTCTTAATTTCTCAGTGATTGTTTTCCTCTAGTAGTCACTGTTTTTAGTTTGTAATAGATACTGATGTTGTATTTGTGGTGATTCAAATGTATATTTTACTATGCAAAATAGCACAGCTTGTGATTGTTGCTTGAAACGCACATATTTTAAATCTTTAGCTTTTACACAGAAAAACTAAATACAGAGAGTTCTATCTTACTCTTCTAAACTAATGGATTCCAAAGCTGTGATATGGTAATAGAAACTTCATACTTAAATAAAAAAAAAGGGGGGACGACGACCCATTTAGCATGGGCTTTTTGCTAAAGCAAATATTAACTTTTTCTTTCTTTCTCCATAGATTATGGAAAGAATTATGGATCTACCCACTTTATTGCGGCATGCTTTCCGGGAGATGTTTTCTGTTGGGGGCCTCTTCTGGATGTTTCGTATCAGGATATTCCTCTGCTTGCTTGGAGCCTTGCTCTATCTGGCTTCACCTCTGGATTTTCTTCCTGAAGCCCTTTTTGGAATTCTGGGTTTTTTGGATGATTTCTTTGTAATTTTTCTTCTGCTAATATACATCTCTATTATGTACCGAGAAGTGGTAACACAGAGGCTGAATAGATGAAATGAATGAAACTGACCCAGATGCAGAGGCAGTTGTGGAAGGTTATAAAAATACAACCATGACCTAAGTATGATGTGACAGGGTGCCTGCCTACAGTTTCAGTATTTACAATTCCATAGCTTCTAGTTGATCATCTTATGCAAATATGAAGGGTTAATATGTGGTGATGCTTAACTGGAATCCTCAGTTTGTGTATTACATACGCTTTAGTAATGATGAAGTCAGTTTTGTAACGTAATAAACTACCTTCATCTGCTTATAACTGATAAGCAATTGTATGTAATCGAAGAAGAAAACGCCACCTCTGGTGTGTGGTTTGTGGAAAAAAAGTTCTAGTAAAGGGCTTTTGGCAGAAAGTCAGTCTGCGTAATCTGGACCTGTTTAAAGAAATTTGGGAGCTCTTCACTGTGCAGTTATAAAATCACATAATATCTCACTGTGGTGGGCTCTCTGTGGAAGAAAAAAACAAAGAAAAAGCATCACAGGTCCCACCCTGCAGTTTGCTGATGTCCACAGTTCATGCTTCACAAATCAAATCAAACACCTCACTGTTCCTTGAACTGTACAACATACAGCTGCATGAAATTCATACAATTTTTTAATATATTTTGGAATATGCATATGCCGTCTCATCTAGGTGGAGAAACAACCAATATGCTGCACACCAGACTGGTTAATGCTCTGTTTTTAAATGGCAGCAGAGCTTGTCTCTGGAGGCTTGTTTATTTGGAAAGCATAGTGGGTTATCCCATGTTGATTTGTGTGCTGGTTTGGGTTAATGCAGTATATCTAAATTTAAGTTTGCACCCCTATATTTGCATTAAAGTATTTAATTGATGGAAAGAACCCACAGAATTCAGTTAGTGATTAAAGAAAAAGTAGGCAGAACTGGATATTGACAATTCAGAATTTTACCCTGAATATGAATTCTGCAATGCAGGTGCAGAGGTGCGATTAAATGACTTGAGTATTGGTTTTTTTGTTTGGCGTTGGTGGTTTTTTCTTTGCTTGGTTGGTTTGGGATGGGTAGAGGAGGTCAGAATTAACTTGAAAGTCCTGTGATAAGGGGACCACAAAAAAATCATGGAAAAGTTTTCAGACTGCCAAAATATTAATTATCCTTAATGTTGACTCTTTTTTTCTGTTGAATTCAAAGATAGTCTATCATCGCTGCAGCAGTAATTTGAAAATAATTTCTTCATATGAATTCTGTGCCACTAGAAAACTCAAGGGTATTCTCAATCTATGTATTTTTAGTTAGAGGAAAGATAGTGTTTGCCATTTCACTTTAGTTTCCTGAGTACTTGAAAGACAGTAACTAGAAAGGGGATCCTTTGTATGTTTACATAATATGGGGAGCGACTTTCAGTGATAAAGGGACATTTTTGCAAATGCTATTTGGACACGCGCAGAAATCTTTCCATATGCTCGTGGTACTGAGGTGTGTGCAGCAAAGTGGTGGGACTGGTGCCTCTTCTGTGGCTGATGCTGGAGATTTTCCCTTAAGGTCAGTGTTTTGAAAGTGACATTCATTTAAAAGTGAATTCAGTGATTCTTCATCTGAAAATTTAGTATTGAAAATCCAAAGCCATGTCACAGCTGAACTGGAAAGCTTAATTTTTCCCTCTGCTCTAGTTAGTTTTGAGTTGGACAAGAAGAGAAAAAGGAAGTGAGATAAGGGTGAGGGGAGAAGAGAGACAGAGGAAAAGAGTTTTCTAAGCAAATTCTGCTACTTTCGGCAAACTTCACCTGTTCTTAAGTGTCTGTCTTGAGATTTTCCTTTTGCTTTGGCATCATTAATGATGATTTGGTGACTACCTCAGTTAAAAGTCACTAGGGTAATATTGAGCAACTGGGGGATATTCATTAACTATTAAATATATGTGCAACGCAAGATAGTAAGGATGCTGGTGAGACAGGACTGTGCAGTTTTGCCCAAAGCAATGCTTTCTATCAGATTTTTCATTATTTTTAATTAAGTAAATTTAACACTCCCTTTTCTCTTTAAATTAAGCTAGTGGGTCTCCTTAGAGAACAGCACGAGCTATTATTGGAGTCTGTCTATAAAATCGCTTGATCTAATACCTCCCTCATATGTTTACTCTGTAATTGCATTTTTACTTTTTTTTGCATGCCCTTCTGAATCCTGAGTGGATGTAGAAGTATCTGAAGCTGGCTGACAAGCTGCCTGCTGATGTCCTCAGTCAGCTCCTTTAATTTCACATGCTATATAAAGAAGTTCACAGAGAAATATTTATCTAAGGAATTTCTGAAGAACAGACCTTCTTTTGTACCTGAACTCAAGTTCAAGCCACATGCATCTATATAAAGAGTTCCTGTATTCCATTTCCTCCTTCACCTCTTCCTTTCTGCCAGCCAGGAAGGTCTCACTTGATACCTCTGCTTAATTTAGGGTAGCAAAGAGCATTATAAGCTTTAATTCAACATACAAAGTGCTTGACAGAATTAGGACCATCTCTGCTTTTCACCAATACATGTCTGTTTGCATGTGGACACCTTTGTGGAGTGAACAGCTGTAACGTAAGAGGGTCTTATATCAAAGACCTCATTTGCCCGCCAGCGCTTGGCCAGTGCTCCTTTAGCAAGTCTGAACTAGCTGTGAATTAGCTCTCCTGGATAATGCTGGCAGTATGGCTGGAGCTTAGTCCAAGCTGCAGGGCCATGCGAGTATTTTGTCTTCCCAAACTATGTCCTGTCAAGTTATTTTGATAGCAAGTGTTTGTGGTAAGTGTAATAAGCAGAGCTGAGCGGTAGTTTCAGAATTAGAAAGAAATACCTGATGTTGTGCATGCAGCACTGCAGACGTGGCTCGCTGGAGGGCAAGGCTCATGGAATGGGGCAGCTGTGTCCTGAAGGCAGAAAAATACATCAGTAAGTGCAAGACCTAGTAGCAGAGAAGACATGTGGGGGAAAGTACTGTTCTTAAAAGGTCCTCATGGCTTTGTGAAAAAAATGTCAAATATTTCATCTAACAGTATTAAAAAAGAGGAAAATTAAAGTTTTACTTTGTAGCTCTTATGGAAAACTTGTAGCATCTTAAGGCCAGGTGATGACCCTTATTGCATTTACCATACAGAACAATATTCTTCTGTGTTGTTTTGTGATCCACACTATTGATATCTGAGAGGTCGAAGCAGCGTGGTGTAATTTGGGGATACAATTTTCCATGGGTTTTATAGAACTCTTCATAGCTGTGATGTGCTTGTTTCACGAGATTTTTAAGACAAAAGGATTCAAATCTGCCTGTTGTTATTTGTAATTATAATAAATTGTTATTAAGGCAATGGACTCTCTTGACTGATTTTATCGGCTTTCTGGGTGGGAATGTGTTGTACTCCAGCCTTTCCTTTGCTCTTTCTGTTTGGCAGGTGGTAGCTCTTCTGCAAAGAAAATAAAAACTCCACTGCTGCTCATCCTAGCACCTCTAGACAGGATGGTCAGAGATAGCTCAGTGCTTCTATTGATTATTGTGGCTGTAGGATAGCAACATTTCAGGGTCTTGGAAATGTCCAAAAGGACACTGAGCATCTTTCCTTGAGCAGCCTAATTGGTACCTTCAGACTCATGGGCAGACTCTGGGTTTTCAGGATGATAAACGAGAACAGATTGTTTATTGAATGTCATCCGCGCACCAATTTGCCAAGCAGAAAGGAGGTGAATGAGAATCCTGTTAATGAGGTGAATTGAATCAGCCTCTGTTGGGACAGAGCAAGGAGGAAGGGTGGTGTGGGGCAAAGAGGAGCCGGGTGAGACTGGCCTGGCTGAATGAAGATCCCTCTTACTGCTGGCTGCACATGCAAGGAGATGGCTCCTTGGCTGAGGCTGACAGGGTAAGTGGCCATTCCTGGAGGTCTGTTGTGCCACATGGCCACCCGTTACGAAAAACTGCAAACACATTGGGATGGAGAAACTGATGGAAGGACGCTAGGGAAGCTGTGAGAAGATTAGTGCAAGGAGATGCTGGAATTGGAGAAGTTGTAGGCTTGGTTTTCCTCCCCTTTTCCTGCAGGAGAGGGTGGATCTGAAAGTCGGAGCGGGGAAAACATCGGAGTCACTTTAACTATGGGAGTTTGAGCTTGCTTTTGCTCAAGGGCAGATGGACTTCCAAAAGTAATCAGTGTAGAAATGCTTGTAAAAAACACTTCAGCCACCCCAGCCAAAACATTCAAGAGAACCTAGAAACAGCTTAGCAAAGAAAATAGCCAAAGAAAATATATTCCCTTCTGTGGAATTTGGTTTCTGACTCAGAAGCTTGGGGAAGAAGATGCTCAATTTCTTTCCAAGAGCCAAGGCAGGTGCAGCCTTCCCAAGCAGCACAACCTATTCCCACTTGCATAGGATGTGGTGGTGCTGTGGTTAAGTAGAGATTACTTCTGTAGCCAGAGATTTGGCTCATTCAGAGGATTATACTCCAAGTAACAAGACACTAATATTACAAAATAAGGTGCAAGCTAGAGGTGGGAGTAGAATTTCCTACACTGTAGCTTGGGTTCAGGCTCTTCAGGTAATCTCAGTTATTGCCTTGGGACCTTTTACTGAAACTTTTGTAGTAAGAGTTAGTATTAAATTGAAGGATGCCAAGGCAGAGAAGACAATGTAGGAAAAGGCTCCGCGTTAAAAAAATCCATGTTGTCTGCTGTACTCTTTTTGGAACTGCATGGGCCCTTACAACAACACTTAAATATCTTGTAGCTCTTTGTAAAAAAATACTAGATAAAAAACACAAGAATAATGAAAAGTCTAGAAAATGCTTCTGAGAAGAAAGATTTTGTGTATAGAGGAGACTGAAAAAGACATTGGGAAAGTTTTTAAATATGTTAAAAAGCCATTGCAAGCAGAGAGCAAGGAATCATTCTCTACATCTGGTATGAACAGAGGAAGTAGCAGTGAGCTTAAATTTCATCAGATGAGATTTAGATTGCAAAAAACCTGCTGACGTGATCCAGCAGAGGATATTACCTGGGGCACTGGTGGAATCTGTCCTGAGAGACTTTTTTAATGCTTGTATTAACGTCTGCCAGGATGGAGTTCAGTGCAGCTAGTCCTGCCTTGGGAAAGGCAGATACTTGAAAAGATTTCTGCTTTCAGCATAGTTTTCTGTGGGCATTAATAGCCATGGGATTAGAGGAGTCCTGACCTGATCAAGCCTGTTTTTCTACTGGTATTTCTAATGCCCTTTACCTGTAAATACCTTTAGTATTTACATAAATACTTTTATGCATTTATCAGCCAGCACTCCTGACCACGTTGTTTTTCTTTTTTTTCCAGGAGTTCTGCAGAGCTTAAATTCCCTGAAGTAATAATAGGACACTACTTTATTTTGGGTCACCTTAGAGATTATTTGCAATAATATTCCATTTTATTAGAAAACTCACTTTTTGTCCCATATTTTTCAAGCAGATTATTTTTCATGATTAACAGATGCTT